AGCCTTTTATCCACCACTTGAACTACGTGAAAGGCTCAGCAACTTACTACCAGCCCCCAGCCATCCCATCTCCTACACAGAATAGATTTTATTCAGACCATACTACTGTACTGCTCATGCAGAGGAGAACCTGAACTATGATTAGATAAGAACTACACACAGGTGGTTTTGCTTACCATTTAGAGTACACAAGTTAAGGGTTTTTACCAGTGGTTCTCAAACTTCATTGCATCGTGATCCCCTTCTGCCAACAAAAACTACTACACAACCCCAGCAGGTTGGGAACGAAGACCAAGCCCACCCAAGTCCCATGCCCCAGACACGTAGGGATGGTGGGGGGAGCACAAAGCTGAAGCCCAAGGGCTTCTGCCCTGGGCGGGAAGCATATAACCTTAGCCATGGGCGATGGGGCTTGCGCTTGGGTTTGAGACCTGGGCAATGGGGCTTGGGCTTCAGACTTGCTGGGGCCTAAGGCCAAAACCAGCCTTGGCGACCCCATTCAAAGGGGGTCCCAACCCACAGTTTGAGAACCCCGGCTCTATATTGTTCAGCAAATTCATTCCCCTCTCCCCAGTCTAATTCATCAAGTGGAAGATGCTGGAACCAAGACATAGAAGAACCTATGGCGGAGAGCTAAGGTTACGTATAAAGGTGACACAATGGACAAAAACATCCAGAGTTAGCATGTAATTTAACAGAGAGAAAATTATGGTCCTCACACCTTTCAGCCAGATGCCTTCCACTTTATCAAACTGAACTTGCTAGTTTGAGGAGAAAGCGAACACTAGGAAAGTTAGTGTAAACAAAGGAGAGAATTAACACACACAAAAAATTAAAATAATTTTTCAGCATTCTACTGGTTGCAGTCATTTCACTACAAAGTGAGATTTTGTGAAACTAGGAGTATGAAAGTCCAGTAATATTGAGAAAAAAAATCAGCTTTGCTTCTGCTTTTATATTAATACCCCAGATTTGTCTACATGGCAAACATTTACAGCTATAGCTATGCAGGTATATAAAGGTGTATGTATAAAGGGCTTTTTGGAAGACACTGCCCAGTGGAGCACTTTATTTTTGGAGTTCATAGCCCATGTTTGCTGACCTTCAGGGTAAGTTGCAAAGCCCATACATATTCCCCTTCCACCTTTTTTTTTCGGGGGGGAGGGGGGGTGTCGTGGGATTGCGGGGGCGGGGAGATTTGTGAGAATTTGGCCAGTAGGGAGGGAAAAGGACTGTTGCAGGGCTTAGGTTTTGTTTACATTTTGCTGCTCATCAAAGTACTGTGTTTAGGAAATAGGGTGCAGGAAGGGGTGGAGTCAAATATTTAAACTGTATATTTTTCAAGATTGTCAAGGGCATGCAGACCCTAGGATGGGTGCTGTTTTACAGTAGTATAAATCAAAATAACTTTAAAATATGTTTATGATCAATTCAGACAGCCTTTCATTGGACTGCTAAATAAATTATCATGAGTGTGCAGTAGCAGACATCATTTAACAGCAGGTTCAGAAGTGCCAGTGATTATTTTATTGTAAAATACACTGCTTACCTTTGATACATGCATCAGTATGCCCGAGGGACATAGTACAGAAATCCACGATGTTCCTCCATCCAATGGATGGGTCACAGGGACTATGATTCTAAAACCCAGGCTTCCTGAATTCAGCACTCCTCATTCTACCTCAAACTGTAGCATCTCATGCCCATGCGGTATTTGTGGCATGGGTTGAATTAAGATTTTTTTTAAAAGTTCAAATCTTAAACATAACTCGGGCAAAAATAAGTATTTTCGTTAAACACTGTAGAGGTCCCTTGTCCTTTCATTTTAAATAAATATTAACTATACAACTTTGGTCCATTAAGTATTTTAAAGATCTCCAAATTTGTAAGTGTGGGGTGTGAGCATCTGACAAATCTTGGAATTGGGAGAGAATTACACCAATACTCAATCAGGCCAGCCAACCCAAGATGGATAGTGAATGACATTGATTGAATTCTGCTTAGTTAGGAGTTAAACAAAAATTCTACTTAATAAGGGTGCATTCTGCAAAGCTACACAACAGGATAAGGGTATTGCAATCTAAGGGGTGCACTGTATTTTGTGGTTATATTCTCAAATTTAATGTGCACAAATTTAGGTTTTTACAGAGAAATATATCTGTTATGGGTCTAATGCAATCTCCCCTGAAGTCAGTGGGCCTTGAATCAGGTGCTGTGTGTTTTGTACAGCTAATTGTTTTTGTTTTTTGTTTTGTTTATTAAAGGTGGGGTATGGTCACATTTAGAAATCTCATGGTTTATGAATATGGATCATATTTGGGAATGTAATTTTCCACTATGACAAAACTGAATTTACACAATAGCTCAAGAATTCAAGCAGATACAAAGCTGTTTATGCTGCTTTCAAGACATACTACAGAACCCATTTAGCTCCATATGAATTATTCCTGTCTCATAAAAGGCAGGCTTTCAGAGTTTGTTATTCTAGAACAGCCAAAGTCAAATGTTGGCTATGAATTAGAATACTACTTTAATAGTAACCTAACTTACATTAAACTGAAAGGTTACTTTTAATCTTGGTCGGTCAGAGGAAACTAAAACAGCATCTCCTGTTCACATTCTATTATGGATCACTGTGATAGTAATGGATAGGTAGATAGATCAGTGAGCACTTAATTTAACTCCACTTCTGGAATGTTATGACAGTTCACAAACGTTGGACTTGGAGAAGCTATTTTAGGTATTAAGTCTGTTTTTCAGATTACAGGCTGCATGACTAAAACATGACTCAACAGGAATAAAGTGATAAGGAAATATTTATTCAGGAAGTACAATTGACTACAGAATACTTTTGATCTTTCAGCAATCTTCCCCCATCTTTTCCTTGTAACTGTGTTAGTCTATGTCCCATTCATGTTATTTTGTTGTTCATATGAAGACATTATCTGCTCTATTAACCGCTAGAACGTCAACGATACAAGAAGTGAAAATTAAGGACTTGTGTATTTACTTGAATACACAATCCAGTCTAATAAAAAACAATATCCTTTTAATATAGATAAGCTTGGACACTAAAAATCAGCATTTTGTTCAGTACTGAAGTGTTATATCCCAAGCCAGGCATATTTTATCAAAGAAGATAATGACCTTACAAGGTAGTCATAGCAATTCAGGTACTCATCTGAGACAGATGGCAGTACCTCCATAATCACAGGAATTTTTCACTAGTCTTTCTATTAACTCCAGACAGACTGCAAAATAAGGGAAAAAAGTGAGACCCTCAAACCCAACTCAATCAGCTGTTAAGAGAGCAGACCAAAATGTAAACTTGATAGGATTAACTTCCACACATGCATTTTAATTTGCATAGCCATATGCACCTGATATGAATATGCTCAGCTCCATGAGTGATTCTGAATTGCCAATCACAGCTAGTGAGATTTTGAATAGCCAGTCACAACATACTCTTTCGTAAGGTTCACTGGAAGTAGAGTAGCAAATGAGGAAGCAAAAAAACCTACACACAAAAATGTGTAATTCCACCTCTTTATTTTCTGTGTTCCTAAAATCAAGGGCCTCTCAACAGCAACAGGTGCATAACATCATCCACAGAAATTATATCTGTCCTTAACTCATGATGGTGTGCCCAAGTATTGCATGTGTAGGGGCTGTGTACTAACAAAGTGCAGACCCTGCACCTACTCAGTTGTAGTAAAGAATGTAAGTTTCTTGGTGACTTTTAACCCATCCTTACTTTAAAAATTAGAGAGCTTTCAGACTATGCAAGAGGACAGACTGCTAATGTAATAATTGCAATTTTAGAACAAAAAAAAACAGGTAATTTCAATTAACCCAACCCCCAACACACACATACAATAGCATTTATGCCAAGCTTCAACCCGAAGAGTTTTGGAACAGTTGATTTACTGAATTCAAAAGCCATAGTTTATAATGGAAATGCTAATGCATTTACCTATAGCAGCTCTAGCTACACTAAAGTAAATATTTCTTTAGGGTAACAAAACACATTGCTTCACCCAGTAACACAAGGTATATGAGTTTTATAATACATATTACTGTCTTTACTTGTACTCATACTTCTCTTTTATATATAAAGCTCTAAAAACAATTCTCTACTATTTTACAATTAAATTAAAGCATTTCCATGATTGGCCTAACTACTGATTTTGGTCTAAATATTTTAAACATTAATCATTCCATAAACATATACAGTTCAAAACATGGTCCCACCAGTAAGAAGTAGCCTTCTGAAACAGGCTAACGATACTCAACCATGTAATTCAGTGCTCAATATCATCTAATTGATAAATATTCATATTCCATTTCAGACTCTACTCTCAAAAATCTTTAAAATACTATCTTTACAGTCTTACAATGCTTACAAACATCCAGAAAGGGTTCACATTTCTAACTTGCTTGTAGCAACCATGCAAGTGTTATTACTTATACACTGGGCCAGCTAAGCATAAACTTCATGCCATCATTTTTAAAAATTTTAACCTTTTACCATCTTTCATACAGTGGAATTAAGTTTACAACGTGGGTAAGAACCTCACTTGCATCTGAAGAAGTGAGGTTCTTACCCACGAAAGCTTATGCTCCCAATACTTCTGTTAGTCTTAAAGGTGCCACAGGACCTTCTGTTGCTTTTTACAGATTCAGACTAACACGGCTACCCCTCTGATAACTGACTTCATGTTATTCCATGTGAACACAGATTAGAGATGAGCCAGACACTCCAAACTGCACTTTTCAGTTTAAGCCTCTAAGAACTAACTTGTTTACAGTCAGTAGGATGCACTCAGGGCTGGCTCCAAGCACCAGCTTAACAAGCAGGTGCTTGGGGCAGCCAAGGGAGAGGGGCGGCACGTGCGGCAATTTGGGGGCGGCAGGTCCCTCACTCCCTCAAGGAGCGGCTTTTTTTTCCCCTTTCTCCCCAATTGCTGCCGCCGGTCGCGACTGTGGCTTTTTTTTTTTGCTTTTTGCTTTGGGCGATAGAAATGCTGGAGCCGGCCCTGGATGCACTTGAAGCTGCCTTTCAATTGAACAGACACCCAGTGTACTGTCAAGCTACCTCTAGATGTATACTAAGAGGTGACGTCATTACAAAAAAGGGCATAATCCAGAACTTGATAGATTCCAAGAAGTATGTAGCTGTTCAAAAATGTAATCGTCTCAACTGAGGGAGTCATTAGCCACTTCACATCTGGAGGCATCTGATCTGCAGATTTCCTCGTTCCTACCCCAAAGCAGGTAACACCACATTCTCTATTCATGGTATATTATGATACTGCTCATTCTGGACTAGAAACCAGAAGAATCAGATTTCTCCAAATTAGAAGTAGCTAATAATAAATCACATTTTGTTAAAATACAATGTTATCGGTATTTTTCTTCTTTTGGAATCTTACAGATAATTTTGTGAGGTTCGTTAACTTTTGCAGGTCACTATAGCTGTCAACCAGGATATCCCACACCACTGTTTAGTCTCACAAAAGGGAAAATCTTTATTCATTTAGGTATTAACTACTCCCAATCCTGTGTGACTCATCTCTATAAATTATAGGATTGCAATAGGACAAATTCAAATCCCAGTTAGGACAAATACCTTTTAAAACAAGAAGTGGAAAAGTCAGGGAAATACATATGAAATTCTTTCAGCATTGCATTAAATATACTGTTCTTTTTTCTGAATATGAATAGACATGGATACAATCAAGATGAATAGCAATCAATATACAACTTCTCTAATTGCTCAAAAATTAGTATAAAATAATATAAATTATAGGAATGATTGTTCCAGATTTTTAGGTGTCAATTATTAAAAAATCATTTATAAGTGAATGTTCATTGTAAATTATTTACAGAAGAGGTAACAAAATTTCCAAGTTAACATTTATCATAGTGAGTTATGACCTAGCACACATGTAAAAACAATGCACTCATCAAAAATTACAAAACCCAGTACTTATTACCAATTACACAATAAGTCATGATTAGCTTTATGTAGCTGATGTACAGTATGCTTTTAAGAAGAAAAGTGCCAAAACTCTGTTATTCTCTGACACTTCATAGGTAAAAGTCTTTGATTTTTTTAATCATTAAGCACAAAAATGTTTTGAAGACGACTTTCATCAATTTTAAAAGAATGCCAAATGAAAATCTTTAGAAAAAAGAATGTTACAAATGTAAAGTACATCTTATTAAAAATGCATTTTAAAAAAGTCTATACATTTGTCTTGACAGTTAAATATTTTATTTGCAAAAGATCTGTAAGAACAACTGGATAGAAATGCTCGTGTAAACTATTTTTTCAAGAAGTATTTGGGTGTTTTAGAACTAAGCGATGTTAATAGGGAAGGCATTTATAAAATTGCCAACAGGTTTTTTTTTTCCTCCAAAGGATAGCATCTTTTATAGTTTAGGGCAGTTCATGTTGTTAGGTCACAAATCAAACTGTTAATTGTAAAACTGAATATAATTTTCTCCATAAATTACAGTGTACAGTATTAGTTCTGTTGCCTGCGTTTTGCCGATCTCATTTTTTCAAATCGTGACTCCATCTCTTCCAGGACCTTTGGTGTGTAACGTACAACTAACTTAACCTTTCCTTGAGCTGCTTTCAGCAGTTCTACTGCCTTTTCATGGTGTTCTCCTTCAACGCTCTGTAAAGCATAAACCATTAAATACTACATTAGCAAAGAACACAAGTGTTGCAGAAGATTCTTTAGCTCCTTTGTTACACAACAAAATTCCATTATAATAAAAAACTAGAAGTATGGCAGGTTTGAAACTGTAATGCAAGGGTTGCTATCACCTAGTTGAAGACCTGAAGCTTCAACAAGTCACCAAACAAATGGTGATGGCAGACTTTGCATTTTCTTTTCTAACTAGCGTAAAAAAAAGTCATGTGGAAATGAGTCCAAGCAATTAATTTATCATCAGAGACAGGGAACAAGCAGACATACTGAGAGTCACTAGAGTTTATGTTTTACACACACAATAAGTACAATAAGAGAAACATTTTAAAACATGGTCCTTTAGGTTTTAAAGTCTACATTTAATAGAATTTATAAAATTTTCCCTCCAGACAAATAGTATTTAGCAACTTCTCCCCACCACTGCATCCGTTATAAGATCCAGGCATCATATGTTTTATCATCAGTCAGCAAAAGTTATTTCTCCCAACTTTATTATAGTTATCAAAACAATGACATTACTATCCCAAGCCTACCTCCCACTGCTGCTATTAGAAGCTAGAAGGCAGGTGGTGTACCTGTTGATTGGAGGGTTTCCCCGTTACTATAAAGTTACTTACAAAAAGAAAGACAACAGTTAAAAAAAAAAAACAAGTTATTTCTCTTCTATCAAATTTAGAAAATGTGCTTGGATATTTTCATTTTTTGTTATTCATCTGAATGCACAAGTCGTTCTCTTTTAAAAATGGCATGAGAAGCTTGTAAGAATACATGGTGTCAGTAAGAGATTTGAAAAAAATCAATTGCAAAATAATATGTGAGATTGCTTATAGTTTCTAAACTATGTCTATACAAATATATTTGAATTCTGTTGTAAACAATATACTAAATGTTACTAGTATAAAAATTCTGGAAAGACCATTAAAATCTTTTAATGGACAAAAGTCTAGTTTTCAAAATATTCTCTATTAGCTAGGTTCTGGCAAAGGCATAAACATTAAAGCCTTTGCAACAATACACTGAAGCATGTTAGTGCTAAGTGTGACAGATATTGCAGCCATATGCAGTGTCTTTGGTGAGCAGATTGTATTAAATTTATTATTGTTTTATGTATCATTGTGAGTCAGAGACCATATGCAACTCTATGAGGAGAGGATTTCCACAGGTCCTTCAGGAACTAAAAACAATGTGGGGGTGGGTGGGTGATTACTACAGTTCCTGAGATTGTAAACAGTCCCAGAGAAGTACCAATCCCTAGGGTGGCTTGCACATATTGATTCAGGCTGCATTTTTCCAGACACTAAGAAACAAAGGAAGGCCTTTTGTTATAAATGGATGAGCTTGAACTGACTTGGGGTCTTCTTTTTGATTCAACAAAACAGGCAGGAACTTGGATCCAGGGGAACCTCAATCCTTGGATTGAAAGGTTGGAAATACTTTGGTCTACTGGGGCTCCATAAGACAGATGAGCAATTCCTAGTATATTTAGTGTGGGGTTTAAAACTATTTATTGTTGGGTTTCTTTTTTAAATGTTTTCTCTGCAATGCTTTTGACCTAAGAATAAATGTACTTTGCTTTGTTACAGTTGTGTGGTCACTGGTTAACAAAAAACAAAACAAAAAACCAAAGCAAAACAACACTGACATTGTCCTCAGAGAGAAAGCAATGCACAGGGCGGAGCCTTAGGCAGACTAGCTTGCTGGAGATATCACAGTGTAAGGCAGGCAGCTGTACAGCCTAAAATTCCCCATCAGAAAGGAGAGAGCCATGAATCTCCATCCAAGAAAGGTGACTGGTGGGAATCTGAAATGGTAAGTGGGCACCCTTGAGGGACCACGGAGGGGGAATACAGGTGCAGTTACTCCTGAAACTGTGACACTAAGTTAATTCTGAATACAGTTATTAAAAACAGGTCTGTTGCATATTAAATATATTAAGATGTTAAGAATGTGCTCAGAGGTATGAGGAGGAGATTTCTTCATTTAAAATTGGTAACATAAAACCAATGTACCTTACATGTGCATGAACACACATCCCAGTTTTATTTATTTTTATAAATATATATTTAAATTTATGCCCACTACTCTGCTAAGCGGGGGTTGTTGGGTTTTTTTTGGAGTGTCTGTGGGTGAGGAAGGCCGAAGAAAGCCACTTGAGGCTTATGGATTCTGGTGCCAGTTCTATGCTTGTCTCAGTATATTTTAGAGCAACTTGGGAATTTCTATAAAGATACACTGGCTAGGCCAAGGAACCATGGTACCAGCACAGAACAGCTGTAGCACTTTGGCCAGGACCCCTTCCCATTCCATATGCTGGGGGCTGCAGAACCAGGTGGCTTAAGAGATGACTATGCCTGCTAGGGATATCTCCATGTTGGGGACATCTAATAGCTCTCCAATTCCTTTGCATCACAAGAGTGGCTCTGGTTACAGACTACAGGATTGAATTAAAACGTACGTTGTAAAATAAGGTTAGGTATGTACAAGTAGTTACTAGAGCCCGAATTTTAACTAGTACGTATAAATTAAGAGTTTTTGAAAGTACAATCAAAACTTGTGTAGTTCACTCAGAGCTGTCTGAGAGTAACTGAGGAGCAAGAATTGTTCTATAAAAATATACACCAAAATAATTTTAAAACCTTTTAGCTGTCTCCTTTTTCTCATCACCCAGAAGGCCACAGGTTGGTATTTTATGTGTTGTGCCTTTTATGCATCTTCAGCCTAAATGGATGCTGAATTTAAAAAAAATCAGTGACTGAGTTTAAAATACATGCTCCTTTTTATAAGAAACTGGAGGAATGGTTTTTAAAATCTCAGCACTTAGGTGAAAAAATCACAGTCCCTGCAAAAATTACTTTATAGCTTGCACTTTGTCTCAGTTTCAGTCTCCAGCAGGATCTTTATCAGGTCAATGACAACATCAATGGACCATCACATTATCTTGCCTTAGATTGAATGGTTTTGGTACTTACCTTACAAGATGCAAAAATTCACATTATAAGTCTGCAACATCAGGGACACATGTAGCAGAACCACTTTAACCACTTTTGGTGGCCAAACCAAAAAAATAATTGCAAACTAAAACTGATTCCCCCGCCTATTTTTCTTGCTGAAATGAAAAAGCAAAAAAACTCTCTTTGGTCAGTTCAAAACGACATTTTGAAATGGTACAGGCTGATTCCCAACAGTTTGTTTCAAAAATTTCAAAACAAACCATTTTGACTTTTGAATTTTTTTTCCAGTTTTTATTCAGCAGAAACTATTTACTGAATTTGACCCCAATTTGCAAATAGTTTTGGTTGCACCAAAAAAGGATTTTTCAGCAAATTTGCTATTTGTTGAAAAAATTATGCCCATCTGTAATTGTAAAACTATTTCATAAGGTAATAATACAGTTTGCTTCAAAATAGAGTACTTAATATTTGGCCTTATTTATCCTCCCATGCTCTGAAATATTGCCTCAGGTAATAGTATACTTGTATTACCATTTAGTGAATTCATGTACAATAGCAAAGCATAGTCCAAGGACTCTTGTCATACTCAAGTTTTTGTCCAATATCCTAGTCTTGCTAATTATGAATCAACTGCAAACAGCAGGATGAGATTTCTATCTTTGCCAACACTAAAAAAAGGCACCAGGCTTATGCAGACTACAGTCTCTATACACCCTCAAGTGGACACAAGTAGTTACTACAACTGAAAGTTAAAGCCAATTCCTACCACTCCGTTTACAGAAAGAAGCTGGTCTCCACGTTTCAGTCCCCCATGTCTATCAGCTATACCGCCTGGGATAATTCGAGAGATATAGATTGGAGAGTTTTGCTCTTTGCCTCCCATAATGTTGAATCCAAGACCTTCTTCTGTTTTTGGCAGTTCAACAACTCTGGGATGTGAATGACCTTCACTGGCAGCAAATGCAGCAACTGTGGCCTATAAGAAACAAAACTATTTACTTTTTCTTAAAATCAGAATCTTAGAAAGTCTCCATCTCTTATAGTCAGAGGTGGTAAGCAATTGAAAAGGTTTTTGAGACAGACAATGAAGTAAAAATAATGTGTATCCTAGGTACCAACATCAGAATACGAAAACTAAGGGGCATTTTGAATTAAATAAAAATGAATGTCATTTGAAATAACAAGTCTTTCATATCTTGTTCATACAACTGACAGATTAACAGGTCATATCAGGAGATCACCCTTTTTGTGACAAAGTATTACATTCTATTCTAGTTATAGTAAGACTTTTACCTTTGCTGTAGCATTAGCTCTCACTTCTGGGCTACTGCTGATGTCCACAGTTTCATATACGTGCTCATATACCTTTAGGACAAAGTTATTTAGTAGGTACATAATTTAATGGGAAAAATGAATAGATAGGTTTTCTGCTTAGATGGTGTGACAAATAATCTACTGTGTTAGATGTGTGACAAGAGATCAATACTTCTGCTACTACTCTCAAAATTGCATTTCCTAATTTAGAGAGAAAGGGTATGTGCCTGAAAGATAACGAATCTGCCCTATTGGAAAACCTCCTCTAGCTGAGGCCATGTCGACACATAAAGCACGGTAATGGCACAGCTGTACCGACACAGCTGTGCCGCTGCAGTGCATCTGGTGAAGACGCACTACGCTGCCAGAAAAGCTCTCCCATCGGCATAAAAAAATCCAGCTTCGCAAGCAGCAGAAGCTCTCCTGCAGATATAGCGCTGTGCACACGAGCACTTATGTCAGTGTAACTTATGTCACTCAGGGTGGAATATTCACACCCCTGAACGACAAGTTTTGTAGATATAGGTTGTAGCATAGACATAGCCTGAGACAGGACTGAGACAGTAAGTCACACCTTCCCCTGGGTCTACTGAATGGGCCATTCAAGCACAGTGAATATCACTGCTATCACTGAAACCAAAAGCGATAGTTGGATCTGCAGCTACTCCCACCCACGCCCACACGACTGGAAGAACCATTCCGAGTGCAGGTAAGGGAGTGAGAGCCTTGGGGAGATGCTAATTAATGCTAGAACAGAATGTTAATCATAAGGCGGAGACAGAAGAGCAGTCAGATTTGTATTGACTCACAGCTTGCTTTCACTACTAAAAAAAGATGCATTTTTTACCTCACGGTAACTAATGCGCATGAGCTATCTCATAACAATACTGTGAAGACAAAACACTTTTGTTTTACTGCAAAGTAAACTAATTGAGGTCAAACTCTGGCCAGTTTACCTTGTGGTAAAAAAAGTGTCTTGTCTTCACTGTTTCTTTACCTTGTGATAGCTCATGTGTTAGTTACCCTGAGGTAAAAAACACAGCCTCCTCCCCACCAACTTCCCTTTTTTTTTTTTTTAGTAGTGAAGACAAGCCCTCACTTGCACTTTTGGGTAACAGATGCTTGTAGCTGACAGGAAAGTCAGACCCTCAAGTTCTCTCTCCAAGAAAAGTGTGAATTGTTAATTGGCTTTCTGTAACCTAAAATAATATATTCTTATCTAGGTTACTTTGGGGCAAAATTTAAATCTAAGTATGTTAAGACAATTGTTCATTTTGTTTTAAATCCTTCCCTACTTTTTTTTTTATAAAGAATTAAGCCCCAAAGTTTGCAGATAATAGATTTGAGGTCAGATTAAAAAGTAATTCAAAACAAACTCTTGTAACAGCTAGCTTTGTTCCTGCTCAGTAGGTACAACAGTACATGTTAGAAGCAGGCATATATCTGGTATTTTTGGTTGCTATTTGTTTATGCCAGGTTAACTTACCTCTCTCACAGCATTACAGAACTCACTTTGAAGGACCCTTTGCAAAGCCTGTAGTTTTTGTGGTGGTATTTCTCCACTCCTCTGTAATTTTTCCAGCAACTCAATAGCTCTGCAGATGTCTGTGAAAAGATAGAATATTGATAATGAACGCCTGACTTTTACTCAGAGAATGTTCTTTTAGTGCGTTCATGTGCACACATACACACCACTTTGTAAGTCAGAATTAAGGATGCTTAAATGCGTTTCCTTTAACACAATCACTAAATATTACTGAGAAGACACCAGTTAATGCATCAACATCCAGTTGATGTTCCAGTTCCCTCCTCCAATGACTCCTTGCATATCTCATCTTCAAGATCGTCATATGTTAAATCTACTTCTCCCTCTGATCCTTTGAATCCGTTCCTAGTTGCCCGTACCACTTTCCACGCCCCATCAATGTGTGCTTTTTATGGTCCCTGTCTCATTCTCCATTCTACTTTGTTTAAAATCAACATTGATCAATATCAGCATTCACACATGGAATGAGGAAGGGGACTACACAGAGTAGAAAAAAAAATTGAGTAGAAGGGCTGGTATGGGTATACTGGGTAACAGTGCACACTGTTTCGGTTACCCTGACAATTTATCCACCTTCCACCAGTGGGGAGACCCACTGCCAACATAGCTTCCCAGTCACTGCATATCCTGCATTTCTGGCTTCCTTGCCTTCCTAGCTCTACCTGCCTCCCCAGTTACAGCCCCTACCAACCTCTGAGTCTTGTTGCCTCTATGCCTCCCTTCTATCCATATTTACCCACTGACAGAATCTACCCGTGTTCACACCCTACATACTACTGTAATAATTTTTGTACAAGGCATGTCTTGTAAGGTATCATTTGAAAACTCATAATTTGCTGGTCAGTATCATCCTGATAAAATATGTGTGGAACATTGTATATAAAGTTATAAGATTTCCCTGTATGATGTTATTAACACATGTTCCAACCCCCATAGCCCTCCCCAAACTAAGGGTGGCAAGCAGGTCTATCCTAAACAAAGGAATGTGTACTCTGCTTAATTTGCATTTAAGTAGTAAACAGAGTCATTGGTCAGAGAGGGAAACAAAAAACACTCAAATGGGTGAGAAAAAAAGCAGCAGGGAACATCCTTCCACATAGATTCTCTATCTCCTAGTGCCCAGCTGAAAATGTTTTTCAAGAGGGGAACAAGTACCCAAAGGCATCTCTTTCTTTCTCCCTGCCCATGACATGCACAGTATCTGAAGCGAAAAAGGAAGCCAGTGCTGGATTCTGGACAGAGTTTGGTTAGCAAGACTGCTGAAAGCACACAGTGAGAAACTTTGCTTGAATCTGAAATAGCTTGTTAAGGTAGGTATTAAGATGTTTTACTATCTTTATTTTTCTTGTAACCATTTCTGACTTTTGTGTCTCATTACTTGTATTCTCTCTCTTAGTTAATAAACTTGTTTTATCTAACCCAGTGTGTTCAAGTTGAAGTGCCTGGGTAATGCCATTTGGGGTGACAAGTTATGTGCATATTATTCCTTTAAAGGAATAATGGACTTATAATATTTTGCACTCTCTGGGAGACGGCCGGCAGTACAGGACATAGATTTCTGGTGGAAATCTGAGACTGGGGTATGTTGGGGTGACCCTGCAGTATAAGCAAGGCTGGTGAGAGTAAAAGTGTAACCCAAGTGTGGTTGGCAGGCTGCAGTTACATGTAGATGTTCAGGGTGTGGGGCTTGCAAGCTAGAAGGCTATTTGTGAGTGGCCCAGGTGAGAGCTATTTCACCAAGGTATTGTAAGGCACCCAAGGTTGCAGGACAGGAGTAACACAACTGCTCATTAGTCTGGATTGTTCCCTGGTATGTCACACCCACCCATCTCATCTATGATAAATATTGGCAATGGGAGCTCCTGTCTAGCAGATCTGAGATCAACTGTGAAAAACCACCAGGGCTTTGCTAGATGGAGAAATTACTTGTGTAGCAGAGCTACAAGTTTCACCTGCCAGGCAACTTTGTACAAGCTTCTCCCACTGCTTGCCTACATTGTTAAGGCTGAGACATGGTCAGAAGTGGCAAAGAGAATCTTACAGGACAATTGCCTGAAAAAGCAAAGTTCATTGCTCTGCTTATTTTAATTGGTGGAACCACCTATGGATTTTCTGAGGAGAGTTCTGGTCCAACTGACTGGGAGTACAGCTGACTAAGCTTAAACACTTCATAGGAAGCAGGTATGGACAGAGGAAGGGAAAGCAGCTAAAGTCTGTTATTGGGAGACACTGGCCCTTTAAGAGGGAGTAAGGCCAAAGCTGTGACTCATCAGCTCACTTCAACTGGACTTAAAAGGGGGGGAGAAAGCTGACGAGTCAAAGCTGCCTGAGAGCACTGACAGAGAGATAGAGAGCGGCAGGTGAGGGCTGTCTGAGGAGGAACAAAGACCCAGGAAAGAGAAGCAGCGGTAGAGGAGAGCTGGTAGAAAGCCATTGAGAAGAGCAAGAAGTTGATGGCGAGGACTGACCAGAGCTGTGGAAAACCTGCCAAGTTAAAGGAGAGCTTGTGCAGAGGTTCCTAGGAAGAAGAACCACCAGCCTGGTTAGGAGAAGCTGAGCCCAAAACAAGAGTTGATGCTGGAGAGTGGATTTTGGAGCAGGAATAGGACTCCTAAGAAGAGAGGCCTGGGTGTTTGGAACACTGTGGGAAGACATCCTTGCAGCAAGCTTGAGTGGAGAGCTACAGGAAGCTCAGCTCAGAACATCTCCTGAGCTGGGGTATGACTCTCAGACAGGGAAGCTTGGCTGAGTGGAACAGTGTGGGGAGTTCTTTGCAGGAGCCCTGACTCAGGGCTATGGGATGAGACTTATGGGACAGAAGCAGGTCTTGGAACTCTCAGGCAGAAGGCCTGGAGAGCGGGGCCCTGGAACAGCAGCTGAATGAACCATGATAAAGTGGTTACTGACTCTCAGATGGGTGACCTGGGAATCATGACCTTTGAATGGGATTGAAGAGCTGCTGGACTGCAACCTTCTTTTACTTCAGGGTTTCAGAAGGATGGTTTTATCATGAATTCTGTGGACTATTGCTGCTATACAGCACCATTCACTATGGACAGAGACAGATAAAAATAGCTCTCTCCTCTTTCTGGGGACAAGATGCTACACAAAGCAATTGTTACATGGGAGAAGACAGTGAAATTAAAAAAATAAATAGAAAAAAGATTCAAGGGGCAGCAGACACTTAACAAGTTTGAGATTGCTTTCACAGAACGCATACACCCTTCCAGTTTTACAAGTACCACAGGGGGGCAAAGATCAGAAGTTTTTCCTCATGCAAATCTACATATACACACAGTACATTACAGCTTTATTTATAAACTGTTCATTCAACCACAAATGCAATAACTTTTGGCTTAAAGGAATTTAGTTATAGGGAGAAATTAGGCAGAGAATGATAAAACTGATTTTTAAGGACAGCTGATAGCTCCATTTTTTCCAAACAAAGCTTACACAGCATAGTGTGAAAGAGTACCTGAAAAGTTAGATTATTCAATTTGTGACACCAGCAGACCAGATGCCAGCAGCTGAGCACTGACAAAGTCATTGCTGGAAACCAGTCCAGCTCACCTGTGTGTTAGTATGGTTAAGTTGAGCATTGGACTTATAACTATCTGTCTGGACTTCATGAACTACTAGTAAATTGCTGAACGTATTAATCCTACTTATGTCTGTATTCTGTGCTATAAGATAATACTTAAGTATTTGCTATATAGTTCAGAACATAACCCACCAAACAAGAAAAAACATCACTTAGTACTAAATCCCTATGAAAGACATTTCCTCTTGCCCATCAGGAAGGACTGTCAAAACTAAACGGGCCATTGTGGAACATCACAATACAAAATTTTGCTAGCAGTTCCTGCACAAGCTATGTGCAAAAGGGCTCATCCCATCATCTTGAATTCTGGAAGAAGGAAAAAAAGATAGTGAACAAGAAAATTTGTCATCTCTTTGCTGTTTGAATTCTGATAGGACTGGAGCTAGGAAACAAATGCAGAGATCCCCCATGGTCAACCTGGGTTAGCCCTAATAGACATTCAGTGCTGACAGATTGGTACAACTCTGTCACCTTTTGAAACCATAGATAGTAACTAATTTTGTGTATATATGTTTGCCTGCGTTAACCTGTAAATAATTCATTTCTTTTTCCTGGTTAATAAATCCTTAGTTTGGCTACAAGCAGTTGTCTTTGGTGTGATATATAAGGTACCTATTAACCTGGGGTAAATGACTCATCTCTGGGGAGTGGAAGCAACCTGAATCTTTTGTGATCTTTGGTGCATGCCAACTATCATTAAATCCAGCTTGCCTGGGTGACAAGATAGACTGGAGTGCCCAAGGAGACTGTTTGCGACTCCATGGTAAGACTGTTACAGCACTTCAGGGATTCATATTTGTTACTGGGTTGGTGAAATCTAATTACTCCTGGGGGAATTGTGCACCAAAAAATTAAAAAATTCTGTGCACAAGTTAAATTCTGCAAATTTTATTTGTCAAAATACTACTACATCATCACACCAGTTTCAATTATTTTGTTAATTTATTTCAAAATACCTGTCAGCAAGAATGTCTGTAACAATACAGACACACACAAAAGTTCCCTCAGGAGTAGCGAGTTAAAGAAACCCCTACGACAACCCCGTTCCTATTTCTCTGCCCTCCCCCCCCCCCCCCGGAGCCCAGCCATGCCCCTCACCCCCCCAGCCCAGACACTCACACTCCCTACCCTTCAGAGGCTAGCTGCACATCCCCCCTCCTCCAACACTCTCACCCCTTAGCCCCAAAGGACAGCTACAGCCCCCTCCAGCCCAGACATTCACACCCTCTACTCCCCAGAGCCCAGCCACACACACACCCCAGCCAAGACACTCACAGCCCCTACCCCACAAAGACCAGCGATCCAGAGCGAGAAACAGCTTGATGCTGGGTCCCAGGCTTGCACAGAGTTTCCTGCGTGCTTCCATCTCCTTCCTTCAGGGCATGCTGGAACTGTAGCTGCTGGGAACCCTTCAGTTCCCTCCCCCTGGCTTTGTCTTATATTTGCGAGCTGGGCTAT